GGGGGTGGCTTCATCACTAAAGGGGGGGGTGATTTGATTACTACTGGAGGGGTGGCTTGGTCACTATGGTAGGGATGTTTTGATCACTGGGGGGGGGGGGGAGGGTGGTGTGGCTTGATCACTACGGTATGGATGTTTTGATCACTACTGGCAAGTTAGCTTAAAAAGATGTGTGTTGAATCATTGATTACGTAAATGCGATTTCTTGTTAATAATTATGGTTTAATCGAAAATTTTATTTAAATCAGCACGGACAAAATAATAATTCTTCGGAGTCAAATATCAAACGACCTTCTACACAATGAGCACTGCCTAAATAATCAGCAGAGATAAACCAGACATTCTGGTAAAGGTCTTTCAGTAAATCATTTTACCACAAAACTGTGTCTACGCATGCGTATAGCCGGACTTAGATTTTACAAGGTAAAGTCAAGGAACAATGTAAACATAATTATAATGATACTAACTGTAATTCTATAATCAGGGGTTCCCCAAAGAATGGGTGACAGTACCTTTTGGAGACATGGCTCACTTCCAGAGCTGCCACGAAACTGATTCAGAGTTATGGAACCATAACACAACATGGCGTAAACGTCATGTTCGCCGTCACTTCTTGAACATTTTCTCCGTACTACTTGTTACGACTAATGGCAGTGGACCTACTTTTTCTCTCTTCCCTCCCCTTTTGCCTGTATTAACTATCTTACCTACTTCTATTCTGTTACATTCCTCCTGATGTCTTCTCGGATTCTACATTACTGCTAAGTGTTTATTGGTATTTTATATTTTTACCGTTTTCCCTGTTGTTATTTCTCTGAAGAAGGCTTCTTGTCGACACGTTCGTTCTTTTGTTGCGTCATTCTTTTTCGGGTGTTACCTTACTTTGGTTTCTTCTACCTAACCTAATAGCACTATCTCCCCCTCATTACCCCGTGAAATATTTCACAATTTTGAATTTCATGTTCTGATTTTATGTTTTGATTCACAAAGGCTTTCTTAAAATGAATTACGCTAGGGCGCATAAAAACGAACAACTTTAAGAAAACTATGTCGTTACCTAATTTGAAATCTGTGCCTTTGGAACCTTTAAAAAAAGTAAGATGACCAGGCGAAAGGAATCGACCAAAAATCGTGTGGAAGGGAACGAAATCTGCGAGGAAAAAACAATTAAAACTTTCATTTTACAATTAATGCGGTCGTGACCAGCACAAATACACCCAGCCGGGAGAATTTAGAAAACAAGCTTATCCAGACTTATGTAACCTTAAAATCACATGACATGAACGTCATGTTTTCATTCACTTGTTAAGCCTTTGCTCCACCCCTCCACGTCACGACAAATGGCAGGGGACTTACTTCTCCTCTTTTATTTCCCTTTTTGCCTGTATTTAATATCTCACATACTTATTTTCTGTCACAATAAATTGATGCCCTATCGAATGCTACTTTCCCGCAAATTGCTATTTTTTGTTTTTAAATAATTCTATTTTTTTCGTTTGTTTGTGTGCTGGCGAAGGCTTCCTGTCGACACGTTCGTTGTTTTGTTGCGTTGCTTTTTTAATTTTTACCCTTACTTTGTTTTACTCATTTCCTTACATTGTTGTAGAAAATCTTTGGAGCGTACGCCTATAGTTCACACCCGAGGGAAAATCACGGAAGGGAACAGCAGAATACCCCCAATCCAAAATGAACAATTGGTCATATTGGTTTTTATGTTAGGCGGTATTAATGGTTGTTAAAAATGACCTTGGCATTAATTCACAATAGCCTATACAAATTTTTCTTCCCAGTCACCACAGAAATTATTCTCGCACAGCATTATTCAAAATTCGCAGAGAATTTTTCTATAACTATAATAAACATTTACATTTGATCACAAGATGAATTTCCATTTTTTAACTTCACGACATGTTTATTTTAACTGTGCGATGATACACTGTGAACTTCGGGGTAGGGGAGGATAGAAGGCGCGATCATACAGTGTTACATTATGAGATTTTATTTTTAAACATTATGAGATTTTATTCTTAAACATTATGAGATTTTACACTTAAACATTATGAGATTTTACACTTAAACATGAGATTTTACACTTAAACATTATGAGATTTTACACTCAAACATTATGAGATTTTACACTTAAACATTATGAGATTTTACACTTAAACATTATGAGATTTTACACTTAAACACTATGTGATTTTACTCTCAAACACTATGCGATTTTACTCTTAAACATTATGAGATTTTACCCTTAAATATTATGAGATTTTACACTTAAACATTATGAGATTTTACACTTAAACACTATGTGATTTTACTCTCAAACACTATGCGATTTTACTCTTAAACATTATGAGATTTTACCCTTAAATATTATGAGATTTTACACTTAAACATTATGCGATTTTACTCTTAAACATTATGAGATTTTACACTTAAACATTATGCGATTTGTGCTGAATTAAACTTTGAGGTTAAACTTAAAAACCGGATGCCATACAGCGTCTCTGCACAATGTTGTTACTGTAACGTTGGATCGGTTCAACAAACTGAGGTCGTGAGAACTTTACTGATGTAAATATCTATATGTAAAACATTCTCTAAAACTCAAGGCTGGTCCACAGCGAAAAAAATAGAAATATTGTTTTTGATTTAGCTCTTTTGCGTTTTTAGCCCATTTGCATGCTATCTCCGTGTGTCAAAGAATGGGCACAAAATATCTAAGATAATGACCTTTGAAAACAACAACTGTATTTCATTGCCTTTATTAACATATGGGCATTTTAGATAGATTGGGCTTATTTCCAATCATATAGGTCATTGAAATTATGAGGTAACTCTTGAAAAAGCCTGTCAGCGGCGGAGGGCATTCTGTCCAATAAAAATTCACATTACTTGAGTGTACAATCTGAACATACTGTATGACGATGGCGTTAAGCTCATAAAAAAAAGTTTTAAAAATAATACCTTTGTCAATATAAAATAAGACATCAAGGACCAAAGGCACGTTTTGGTATTGTTTACAAGAAGGGCGTTTGTACCTGACTGTGGGGGGAATAATTAACGGGGGTAGGGGGTGGGAGGGGGGTTAAAATGGACAAAACTGCACCGTCCAAATTGAACTTTTCCAATCCACTTACGAAGCGCTTCCGGAAATGTTAAGTTTCGCGGACAGGTGGACAAGAGTTGAAATTGGACTGTTGCAGAAATTTATTAATTATATTTTTTTTAAAACCTTAAAATAAATGTTCATACTGTGATGACCGGTAGAGTAAGGCTCACGGACCGGTGCCGATCCACGCCCCACCGTTTGGGGATCCGTGCCCCACCGTTTGGCGATCCACGCCCCACCTTTTGGGGATCCACGCCCCACCGTTTAGAGATCCACGCCCCACCGTTTGGGGATCCGCGCCCCACCATTTGGGGATCCACGCCCCACATTTCGGGGATCCACGCCCCACCTTTTGGGGATCCACGCCCCACCTTTTCGGGATCCACACTGTGCCCCACCGTTTGGCGATCCACGCCCCACCTTGTGGGGATCCACGCCCCACCGTTTAGAGATCCACGCCCCACCGTTTGGGGATCCGCGCCCCACCATTTGGGGATCCACGCCCCACATTTCGGGGATCCACGCCCCAGCTTTTGGGGATCCACGCCCCACCTTTTGGGGATCCACACCCCACACTTTGGGGATCCATGCCCTACCCTACTAACCCACAGGCATCAAGAGCGAAGGGAATGGAGTGGGCTACTGTGCAAATGAATAGAACAGTAGCGCCATACCATACATTACTTTACCTTGTTTAAGTGTTTGTACAAAAGTGTGTATATAGACTACAGGTAGTTTCTTTTATTTTTCCTTTTTGATCAAGCTATTTTTTTTATTTCTTAAGTGTTGTTTTTTTTTAAGTCGACATTATATATTAACAATAAATACAATACACAATAAGCACAATTTTACTATTTAAGGTCTTCAACAAAGCATTCTGCAAACTGTTAATACCATAAATAACATGCTAGTATTAAATCTATCATACAAATTTCATATCAAAACATGCACATTAGAAAATATCCACCTTCACGACATTTTGAGAGGCAGGGTTACGCCCCAGGGCTGCATTAAAAAACTACCGGTTTCATCCCGTTAGACGACTACGCCTCTGCACCAAACTTTAAATCTAGTAGTCAACATGTTGTCAACCAACTGAAAGAATATCGACTATATAACTGTAGCACAACGGCATTACATGGTTGTAAAGGGGCAACATTTGTATACGACGCGTCTCAGACTGTATTAATTATAATGAATTGCTTTCTTATTCTGTCCATGGCTGTGATTGCTTCACTGAAAGCAGGTTTGTAGGAATATATATTATGATACTAGTGATCACTTGCTTATAACCATGAGACGCAAAGACACAATTTATTTTATTTTTATTTTTTTTTTTTGCGCCATGGGTGTCTAAATATAAACAACTATTTGTGATTACATGTGTCATTTATTTATGCTTGAAATCAAAATTTGTATACATAAAAAAATGATTATTTTTTTTTTTAAATTTAGTTGTGTAGTATTAAACAATATTAAATTTAGTTCCTGTCAAACCAGAACAACGGTCTAAAATACCAGTACTTTCCTGTACACATAGAAATAATGGTCACCTTAAATTACATGCTATTGCCTTCGTTTGATGTTTATTTTTTAATTATCGGACAAATTTTTTAAGTCTTAAATATAAAATTACGTTATGAAAGTATCGAAGATATATATTATTATGTAACAGATAAAGTTTTAAAAAAAATTACCTGAATGTGTTATAGATATGCATGTGTTCTCTATATCACATTATTACAATTGTAATTATTCTTATCTAAAATGTGGGGTTTTTAAAATTCGGTTTGCTAGGAAAACATACTGACTGGCAATTAACGACAAAATCTATAGAAAACGACACGATACATTTCTAAAATAATAATCTCACTATTCTCAGATTTGCTGATGGAAATCAAACCCCCAGACATAATTATTGGGCTTACAAGACAACTTTCCATCAACTGTTCTTTCATTCGAACTGATATTACAAACATGGTGAAACTCATTTCCCTGGTCGTCATGCGGTCAAATGAGACCGACACTCTGAATTTCTACTACCAGGCTTCCGTGGATGTCTTCGATGGTCTCAACAACGTCACTGGAGTTGTCTCGGGACTTATAGATAACAGACATGAATCTTACATAACATTGACGTGGAGCAATCCAAGATCCACCTTGACTGGGTGGTACAGCTGCCAAGCTAATGGGGAAAATCTCAGTGGACAGGTGGTGACGCTATCAAAAACAGCCAAAGTTAAAATAACAAATCCAACGATAGAAGACCTGCTAGACGTTCTTGAGCGACAATCGTTTGCACTTGAACTTCAATCCTCTAAATTTGAACTTCAAGCGTCACAGCTTTCAAAACTTCAATACGATTTTGAGCACATGGGCTCGTCGGTCCATGAAAAGTGTGTATGTTGTGACACGCTGAACTCGTCTCTTAAATCTTTGTATCACATATCCGCCTTACACAACGGCAGCCGCTATTACCTGTCCCCCGCGTCGACGATACTTTTAATGAAAGAAGCCGAGATACAGTGTGAGTTCATGGGTGGGTACCTTACGGAGATGGACAGCGAAGAGGAGTACCTGTTCGTCAAGAGCTTCCTGAAGAACAACACCGGGTACATTACAGTTTATACGGGCGGCAACGATGGGGCCTTCGAGAATAACTGGGTCAACACCTACAGCAAGACACCGGTCAAGTACATCAAGTGGGGTCAAGGGCAACCCAGCGGCGGAACGGCCAACAACTGCCTGGCCCTGTGGAGGGATTACGACTGGACGGCCGTGTCTTTGAAATGCTACCAGGGTGTGGTTTCTGACAGCCGTGGCTACCTCTGTGAAGTTCCTGAACCGTAATTTTAGTTGGACTAAATATTCAGCATCATTCATTTGTACTTATAATATTCTATATTGTATAGCTATATAATACTTTAACGTAAATGATATTAAAATGGAATTTTGAAGCTCTTTTGTTAATTTTTCATTGCTAAAATATCCTAGAAGTTCAAGTTATTTTATTGAGGTAGTTGTCTTGCCTGCATGGAAAAAAAAAAAAAATTAATATCCGATATTTGTTTTAATTTGTCTGATATATATTTAAGGCACATTTTTAATGTGTTGATTTTGTCGGGAACAAACTTTTTTGTCGCCGTGCACGTTTTTCCCAAATGACATCAGAGTTTTACACGGCAATATAACATTTAAACTTTCCAGCTTAAATGCAACTCTGAACATGTTTCTTTTGTACGAATTCGCCTTTATTCGGTAAACTAGTTAAACTGCACGCATGCGCCACCACGAGATGGGTGATTTGATCACAACAGGAGGGGGGTGGCTTGATCACTACGAGAAAGATGGGTCGATCACTACGGGATGAGTGGTTTGAAAAAATTATTTTTGTGAACCATTTACTAGTGAATGTAAATAAAAATCCGTGTTCACAATTACAGTATTATAAATAATGCACTATACACAGCCAGCTCAAACAGATCTAACCAATATGCTGTGATTTCCAATATTTCGAATTGCGGCTGCTAAACGAGATCCAGACGCGTCTTCATTTCTATTTTTCTAAATTTTCATAAAAACTTTAACATTTTTATTGATTCCATCAAATTTGAATTTACCAATAACTCCATATTGACGTCATATTTCAGTTGTACAAATGACGTCATCTAACAAGTGAGTGTCCTTTACGCGAAGCTTCACGAAGCTTCTTATGGAGAAATTCCCTTAGTCACTGGAAACCTCTCCCGCTTTCATTCAACGGAACAAAAGGGAATATATCATGAAAGTACTAGCTTTTTATTCAAATGCGCATTCAAAAAAATGTGTGTTTTTGAATGTATACGAAGATTTTGTCGAAAACTTGAGGATCTCACTCACCCCAATCACCCACCCCCATCTCACATACACATAACATTAAAAGAATAAAATAAATAAATAAAATGTTTCCTTTAAACTAGTGCGTTTTGCATTGATCACTTATAAGGACGATCTATACGTAGGTCTTGAGATATTCGGAAATAAATTATATTTGAGCATAGCATATTATCTACACTATTTAAATAGGGAAACAAATATTTTTTGTTAACAGACATTAGACATTTATTGAAAGAAAGACATATTTTTTTTATTTATAAATCTTTTATATAACTTCGCTTTTGTTCGTGGGAGTCTGGCTGGCTTACCACATGAAAAAAAGGTTTGGATGGCAGATTGACCCACTTTCCGTAAACCTATCTAGCTAAAACTTGGCACATAAACTCGTTGCCTATGGCAACACATTCTTTCAGCCCCTATCTCCAATCGCGGCTTTAAAAAATCCGCTTTTCGTGTTTATCTAAGGAAAGATGAAGGACATGTAATGTCACTGATTTCACTAAATAAAATTCCCGATAACTGCGTTAAAGAAGATGTTTTTTTTTTTATATCGCAAGTTCATTTGGTGCGTAATAAATCAGTGTTTGGCTCGGTTTAAACAAGTTTACATGTTTATTGTTATCTCTTAAAGTAAACACATTAAAAAAATTGTCGCTCAGGACATGCCTCGGGCCTGTAACCTTAAACATATGGGACTGCGATAAGGGTGGGTTTTTTTTAGTACGCTCCTTAGTCAACAATACAATTTCTTTTTCACATTATAGTGGCGGGGAGTTTGATTGGCATTACTGCATTTTGTTCGAATGTACAGGGCGTACGGAGTGTGTGACAAAGGGGGTGGGCATGCAGTACCGAAGAGCAGCCAAACAAAAAACATTTGTCGTCCAACGAATCAACGCTTGCTTTCAACTTAGTTTACCCTGATTCTCACTTAATGGCTGTTTGAGATGATTTATTATAAATGCCTTATGTTCAAATTGTTTTATTTATGTGCTGAAAATGTATAATGCAATCAAAAAAAATTTCCATTTATTTGGTCAATAAAAGAATCTTATCTTATCTTATACGCTGAAATGCTGCACATTTTTTTTTTGCAGCTGTTCTTGGCCTCTATGATATGTGCAATAATGGTTAATTTCTATGTCATATAAAAAAAAAATAATCTCCAACTGGAGTGGGGCCCAAAGTAAGATTTTGCCCTGAGCTGCTTAAGTTCTTGGTATGGCTGGTGTGCCTATGAACACGATTTTAACTGGCCAATAGAAAAAAAATGAAATTCTAAAAATGTAAGTAAAATATTCGTTTTCTTTCGATCCTCAAAAAATATATATATATATATATTTATTTATTTATTTATTTATTTTTTATTTATTTTATTGCGGATGACAAAGTCATGTTTTGAAGTCATTGACATGAAACGCGTTTCAACTTAATACGGTTGTTCAAAATAAATTTCACCGTCACATAAACCAAACGAAATTACTAACACAGGTCATGCATGCCCCCAACAAAAACAGTAAAGTGGCGTAAGCACAAGGTGCCGAAGTCAGGTGCACAATGATACAACAGTCTAAGAAAAGTTTAAAATGTGGCAGAAACAAGTTTAAATGCGTAACTTACATTGACATTTTTTTTTTTACTCAACGATACAGCTGTAGAAGTCCATGTTTAGGTTGAATTGCGCGGCTAAACAAACAAACTAATTAAAAATACCACAATTATTATAAAAGCAAGTTGTTTGTTTTTACAACGAAACGGTCCAGTCGCCTGACACTGCCACAGTTATTAGTATCTCAAAGTCTAGTACTGAGAGGGTTTGAGCTACAAAAATTGTTGTCTTAAAAGCAGTTGTAATTAATAATTGCTTTTCATTTTTATTATTCTCGTGATCATTACAGCTACCAGTGTAAACGCAAAAAAAAAAATGACAAAAAAATTAACAAGCACCAGACATTTCACTCGGCAAGACACGCCCATGTCGCATGAGAATGAGGTCACCGAGTCAGCACCCTCTTGCGCCAAGACGCGACTTCACCGTTATAAAAAACGTTAGAATTCGGTCTGGCTATTTTAAATGGTGTGGTGTGAGTTTAAGAAGACATCGTTTCACTTCGAGACCAACAGTCGTTCACTCCTATAAGCCCTTCATCTCTATGATGGAAATGTGTGCCATGAGGTATTTTCTTCTTCTATCCTTGGCTGTGTTTGCCGAACTTCAAGCAGGTTTGGATACAATGAAATAAAAGATCTTTGTTATTAAATTTTTAATGCGCCGAATTGCACTAACTTAAAACTTAATGGTGATGTTTTTGTTGTCTATTTTATTTTTTTTAATCCTTTTTTTGTTTTGTTTTCGGTGGAAAAAAAAAGGGGGGGGGATTATTATTCATTTGTTCAAGTTTAAACGTTGGAGTTAATAATTATTGACTAGTTTTGAATGGGCGAGAAACAGTTCATTTAAAAAATAAATTACAAAATTAAATCATTCTCTTTTTAAAACACTTTAATTTTATAAATGTCTTCATAAGAATTTCGATTGGGAAAAAAAAACAATTCAATTATCATAACCAAACATTTTTTTTTAAAGCATTAAAAAGCTCGGTTTGAAAAACTATTAATAATGCGTCAAATGATATATAATAATAATTCCTTAGTGGTCGTTGTCCGCCTCACTTCAGAAAGGTAATGCAGTCTTCTTTTGAACGTCCTCACAACACAAACTAAAGCTTTCGCAAGTAAAAATTATTATGTTATTATTGGAAGTTTTTACACAATTTATTTTTCCCATCCGCACAGTACCATCAAGCGATTCCCGAAGGTAATACAAAATTCCCGCGTGATTCTTTGCTGATCCACAGAGCGCCATCAGAAATTATTTCTATAGACTGTGCACCCCACCTCCGTATTTAACACGCCCTCCCTGATTGCGTCGCCCCAACCAGTTTTAATAATATCAAAAACAATTTTCCGTGACAGCCCTAGCGACTTGGCAGTTTTATTCTCACAAATTATTATTCCAGTATTTTACTTAGATTTGTCTATTCATTGTGAAATATGAAATACTTCTCTGGTTAAAATTTCACAATTGGAAAAGGTATTTACTTGTAATGTATTTTTGTCTTTAAGATACTTCTTACATTAAACAATGAGTATCTTATATAGGTAGACGTCATGCAATGTAGGTGACCGTCCCTAAACTAAGAGAAAATGCCCCCCCCCCCCCACGATCACATCCCAGAAAACTTAAAGTTGATGCCTAACTTTCGGGCACATGCCAATTGAACCACTGTTCAAAGCTTCCTTCGTGTATGCGCGAACAGGACGCCAATGTGCACGTTTATACAATGAATTACGCGCGAAGACAATCACGCATGCCTTTAATTGTTGAGTAATCCCCTATTTTACGTATTAAAAATCGTTTAAAACCTGGATTAAAGCTGTCAATAACAAGCGTGAAGTAAAACGGTGATATAGGTTAAGGGATAACGCTGCCCCCAAATATAGTATAGGATATCTAGAGCAATGATGGTTTTCGTACACATTTACTAATCGACAGGTCTCATGAAAATTCAATCATTCCGTTTAAGTATTTCTGAAATATTAATCTCACTTTTCTCAGATTTGCTGATGGAAGTCAAGCCCCTGGACATAATCGTTGGGCTTACAAGACAACTTTCCATCAACTGTTCTTTCATTCGAACTGATATTACAACCATGGTGAAACTCATTTCTCTGGTCATCACGCGGTCGAATGAGACCGACAGTCAGCGTTTTTACTACCAGGCTTCTGTGGATGTCTTTGATGGTCTCAATAACGTCACCGGAGATGTCTCGGGACTCATAGACAACAGACATGAATCTTACATAACGCTGACGTGGTACAGTCCAAGATCGACATTAATCGGGGCGTACAGCTGTGAAGCCAATGGAGAAAATCTACACGGGCAGGTGGTAACGGTAACAAAGATGGCGGAAGTCACCGCAACAAAACCGGATGTAGAAAACTTGTTAGATGTTCTAGAGCAGCAGTCTTACATTCTCGAGTCTCAGTCCTCTTTACTTAAGCTTCAATCCTCACAGCTTACAAAACTGCAGGAAGATCTTGGGCAAATAAGCTCGTCTGTCAACGAAAAGTGTATCTGTTGTGAACGATTCAACAAGTCTCTTAAATCTAAGTATGCCATTTCGGGATTGCACAATGGCAGCCGCTACTATCTGTCTCCCGCGTCATGGATACTGGTGATGAAAGAAGCCGAGGCACAATGTGAATTATTGGGTGGATACCTTACAGAGGTGGACAGTGAAGATGAATATCTGTTCATCAAGAACTTCTTGGTAGCTTACCAAGATTATGAAATCATTTATACTGGGGGGCATGATGAGGACTTAGAGAATAACTGGGTCAATACCTACAGCAAATCTCCCGTAAAATACATCAAGTGGGCACAAGGGCAACCAAATGAGGGAACCTCGGGTAACTGTCTCACTTTTTGGAGGGATCAGGGCTGGACAATGGCAGATAATAAATGCTTTCAAGGAGTGTCACAATACATGGCTGGTTATCTATGTGAAGTCTCCGAATAACAATAATTTGATTGAGATATCATAAAATAATTAACTTTAGATTTAGCTCCTGGTGTGGGAATTAATAGACCGATATCAAACACCAATTAAAAAGCCTAATTTTAAAAAAGCTTGCAGTATCACACAAAATAAATATCCTTTCCTTGATAACTATTGGAAAAAAATGTTGTAAAACTAAAAAAAAAAGTATTTATATATATATTCCACCCTCTTCATCACACATACCCAAGATAAGTGCGAATTCTTACCTTAAAGTTCGGACGCAAAGATGTGTCCCTAGTCTGTTTTAGTTTCCCAGCCTGCTTTCCCAGCGGTTACCAACTCAAAATGATAACTAGCAATAAAAATTATTTCTCTTAGTCCCAATAATCACTTATTTATTTTTTAAATATTTTCTTGTTTTTATTATTTTTTTTATTGTTGTCAAATACATTGTATCCTGATTTCTACGCTAAAAAAATACTTTAAATGACTTGTGTTTATATATGTTCTAATTTAAACATGTTGCCTGGCGTTAAAATATGTATTTATTTATGAGCTAAATCAGCCTTATGATATATAAGGGTAATGAGGGGAGAGACTGCAATCAGCTTAGTGCAATATAAAATAAGTAAAACAGAGTAGGGTTAAACCTGAAAAACAGAAACGCAACAAAACTACGAACGTGTCGTCAGAAAACCTTCGTCAGCGAACAAAACAACAGAAAAAAACAGTATAAAAATAAAAATAAGAAATATCACTTAGCTTGGACGTAGTATCCGTGGGCAGCAAAAGAGTGATTATTGTTATTGTAACTTGTCTTTGCGTGAGTGTTGTTATTGTAACGTGTCTTTGCGTGATTTTTGTTATTGTAACTTGTCTTTGCGTGAGTGTTGTCATTGTAACTTTTCTTTGCGTGAGTGTTGTTATTGTAACACGTCTTTGCGTGATTATTATTGTGAATCGTCTTTACGTGGTTGTTGTTATGTGACGCGTCTTTGCGAGACTGTTTCTACCGTACCTTTGGAGAAGTTTGAAAAATATGAGATCATGGATCTTCCTTTCCGATGCATACTTCTACACACCCAGCACAATCCAACAATCAAGGCTGGTCCGCTGCAAACAAGAGAACTATTCTTTCTTATTACGCCCTTGTTGACTGCCCCACTTACAATGATGTTATCTCGTGCGTTTAGAGAATGAACACAACGTATTTGAGTTAATGACCTTTGAAAACAACATCTTCATTACACTGCAGCGCTGTCGGAACATATGGAAATTTGATATGGATTAAAATTACTTACAGTTAAGTAGGTCATTGAAATTATTTTGAAGGGATTACCCCGGTGTTGCATTACATTTAGAAGCTTCCCCCCCCCCCCCCAAATGTCATTGAAACTATTTTGAAGGGATTACCCTGGTGTTGCATTAAATCTAAAAGCTTCCCCCCCCCCCCCCAAACACACACACCAATTTTATTTCTTTTTAAAATTAGAAAAACAAATAATGAATTATTTTAATTTATTTTGTACAATATCTTCAGTGGCGGAGGGCATGCATTCAAATAATAATGCTTCTTCATTGAGACCTCAAACTAAGCATACTATATGACCATGCTGTTATGCTTTTAAAATTGTTAAATAATAAGATTACCAATGTTAAATAAGACGTCCAGGACCAAAAGTACGTTCTGATGTCATTGTTAAAATGCGCAAAATTTCATCGTTCCAATATAACTTCTCCAAATGTTTTTGCAAAACTTTTTAACTTGAGCGGACCGGTGGACAAGTCTCGAAATTACACCTGGGACCAGTGCAGACCTTTATTGATTATGTTTTTTCTTTTATTTTACCATAACTATTCATGTCTTGAGAACCGTCAATGTCAGGGTCACGGACATGGTGTCGGACGACGCTCCACGCATCACATTTTGGGGAACGCCGTAGGCAAGCCATCAAACGCGAGAGGGAATGGAGAGCATCATCGGGCGAGTTAATAGAACATTAGCGCGGTACCATAAATTATTATTTTTATTTTTTGTCGATACAAAATAGTGCAAATAAAGGTAGTTTTCCTCAATTTTTTATTGAATTATTTTTATTTTTCTAAATTCTAATCCGATGTGCTTAGATGCCTTAAATAATAATCAGCAAGAACTAGTCATTAGGTTTTGTCAAAGCATTCTGCAAACTGCGTGCATTTAAAAAAATCTACGGGTTCTTCCGTTAAGCGACCACACCTCTGCACTTAACTTTCAACCTAGTAGTAAACATGTTGTCAACCAACTGAAAGAAATATTGTCTATATAACTGGAGTAGTACAGAATTAAATTGCTTTGGCGAACAACGTTTGTATACAACAGGTCTCAAGCTGTAGTGATTGAAATGAAGTATTGTCTCATTCTATCCATGGCTGTGATTGCCTCGCTGACAGCAGGTTTGTTTAAAAAAGATAGTATACTAGTAATTACTAGTAATTAAATTCGTGAAACGCAAAGATTGTATTGGGAAAAGAATGAAATAATTGTAAAAATATTCAAGTCTCAATCGTCTGAATAGTGTTTGTTTTAATAAAGAGATCCATAAATATTTGAGTTATGTATTTCAAAATCATAATCACTAGACCACGACGAAATCAAAATATATAGGCCAAGAACAAATCTTAATAACTAGTTCATGAACAAATCATAATAACTAGATTAGAGGACACACCAAAAGCTAAAATGATTTTCGGCTGAAAGCGAAAGTAGATATTTCGAAAATCGTTCGCGCATATTCTATGCGTAAGTCGAAAACTAATGGGGAAAGTATGCATATTTGTATTATCTTTTTGTTTAAAATGAGATAATCGGGAATTTACATAGATAAATAGAAAGCTAATCAACACTTTGGCTTTTACCATTTGATTATGAATTAATCTGACGTATCTTGTTAAGAGAAAATTTTGAA